ATATGTGTGAACATTTCTATCTGCGATGACAGATTACAAGACATTCAGCTTCAAAGACAGTTTAATAACAAAATTGAAATGACCAATTTAATTACATTTTATGCCATATGCTTGTGATTTTTTTAATTATTAAATCATTAATCTAATCTCCACTGAATGTTTTAACAATATCAGTTTGAAGTTCTATGCAAACCCAACATTTTTTGTTACATTGGCATTGAAATTATGCGTTTCATTGGACTGCATTCAAAATGCCTTGTTATTACAGGTGTAAAAAATATACAAAAAAAACCTGTGAAATGTTTTTATTTGTACACAACGGAACAGCCATAAAACCTGAGCAAACCCTTACAAAAACAACAAAAAGTAACAACAAACACAACAAAGGACAAAACATTTTGACATCCAATGTTTTGCTTTTACCTCCGTTCAATTAGGTGCTTTTATACTACTTTTCTTCTCAGGGCTGTAATGCGATTTTTAACATAATATTTACCAGCTTTCCAGTCTCTGTTTCTGAGAGCTTCAGGTGCAGCAGTAATACAGCGCTGACACTCTTCTTTACCAGGAACTTGACTCCTCACGATAAATCTCCTCAAATGTTTGTCCACTGCAGCACACTCTTCTGGGGTCCAGCTTCTCTTGACAGCTGTTTGTTTTTCTGTGTGGACAAAAACAAAACAATGTAGGTTTTCTATTATAAAGAAGTTTTAATCTTGATTAACACTGTAAGACCCACTGTTTTAGAATTACAACAATTTTGGTTATTGTCCAAAATTATTCCACAAATTCAGTCTCATAAATCCCCAAGGCCCTCTGATGGTGGTCAGCACAAAACTTACTGCATGTAAACAAATCAGGTAACAGAATTCCATTTGTACCATTTCCATGTACTTGAAGAGAGGTCCAGAGTCTGGGGGCTACAGCAGCAGATGATCTGTCACCTTTGGTCTTTTGCCTTGAGCTGGACTAACAGTAGGCTTTGGTCACTGGACCTCAGAGACCTGCTGGGGTGTAGGGTCTGAGAAGAGCACCAAAGTATGGTGGTGCTTGTCCATGTAAGGCCCTATAAACCAGAACCATGATCTTGAAATGAACCCTGAAGTTGACTGGCAGCCACTGAAACTGGAGGAGAAGCGGGGTGATGTGGGTGTGTTTGGAGGTCCTGGTTAGAAGCTGAGCTGACAGGCATTCTGAACCACCTGTAGACGGTTCAGGGAGGTTCTGCTCAGACACGTGAAAAGAGTTGCAGTAGTCCAAGCGTGAGAAGATGAAGGTGTGGAGAACTGTCTCAAGTTCAGAGCAGGACAAAATGGGACTCAGCTTTGCAATGTTCCTGAGATGAAAGAAGGAAGAGCGAACAAGAGAACGGACTTGAGAATCCAGGGTGAGAGCCGGGTCAAAGGTCACACTAAGACTCCTGACGGAGGGTATGGTGTGAGAAGCAAGCTGACCAAGATCTCTGACTTTGGGAACCAGCTTGTCTGGGGCACAGATGAGGATCTCAGTCTTATCTTCATTCAGCTGAAGAAAGCTCCCAGCCATCCAGGTTTTGATAGAGTCTAAGCAGGTGTGTAACAGCTGCAGCTTAGACATCTCATGGGGCTTAAAGGAGATGTACAGCTGGGATGTCATCTGCATAAAGATGGTAGGAGATTCCTCTGAAAGAGCTCAGGATGTGCTGAAGAGGAATCAGATAGAGGAAGATGAGTAGAGGCCCCAGTGCAGAACCTTGTGGGACATCATGGGTGAGGGAGGTGGTGGAGGACCTTGGAGATGGCCACAGCGTTTTTAAAGTAAGCAGGGACCTGACCATAAACCAGAGAAGCATTAATTGTGGAGAGCACGCTGGGATCGATGGACTGAGAAGCACTTTTAAACAAAGATGAGGGTAAGATGTAGAGGGGGCATGCAGAGGTCTTCATAGAGTTGGCTAGTTTGGTTAACTCAGGCAAAGAAACAGGAGCAAAGCTATCTAGGATGATGGGCCTGGTTGGAGTCAGGAGAGGCAGAGATAAGGCTGAGGGAGAGATGCTAGATTTGACCTTATTGACTTTGTCCACAAAGAAAGACAGAAAGTTCTCACAGTCTACAACAGAGTGAATGGAGGCTGTAGGAGAGGCAGGGGAGAAGATGCTTCTGATGGTGTTAAACAGCACCTTGGGATTCTCTTTGCTCTGGGACACCAGGTTGGAGAAATAGTCAACCTTTGCATCTCTGACTGCAGAGTTAAAGGAAGTCAGAAGATTCTTTAGATGCAGCAGATGGACATGGAGACGGGTTTTCTTCCACAAGCGCTTGTAACAACAACAAGCTACTGACCATCAACCTCTGTGACGGGTCAAACTGACCCGACATGTGCCTCTGCTTTTACCTGGAGCCGAGATGGCTGCTGAGACACACTCTCCTTCTGCAAGGACGGCAGAGGCTGGGTTCTGATAACCAGTTGTCAAGGACGCAGTGTGGGGAAGGAGGACAGCTGAACTGTTCATCTTATGATTTTAATAAAGAATGAGATCTGTTGATGAATTAATTAATATGATCAACTGCTGAATCAATTTGTGATCAAACTTGTAAATGATGTTTAATGGAGATGATGTGATAACGAATAATACACCACATATTGTTAAACACACAGCAGGCAAGAGCAGAGCTTCTCAAGGGCAAAGACGTCACGATCTGGGAATGCCCCGGGAAGGGGGGTCGTTCTACAAAACTACTGATAAGCGAGCTGAGAGTCAGTTCGTTGAGACTTCACAGGGCCCGTGAATTCCTCTTCGACAACATCAGAACTTTGGCACGCTGCCAGGTTCTGGACACTTGCAAGCAAGCTGAAAACACCAACTGAGTTCCACCATCAACCGTGGAACGGTTTGCTTAAACTTGAGCCAATCAGAGACTGATTTTGACCAGTGGACTTTAACCTCAAAGCCTCACGGATTGGGAGACCAGCTGGGAGCGACCGTGTTCCTCCATCGACCGGGGTCCGTCCAAGACACCCCCCAGGTGATTTAGGGCACTCATGATCACTTCTTGTTCCAAAGCGACACAGAAGACTAACCCAAAACATAATTTCTGTTTCAGACAGATGAACTAAGCCCTCAGCTAAGCTCTGCTCTCATGCACATTTTAGCTCATTAAACATCAGGGAATTGTTAACTGTGTGAGATTTTAAATTGTGATTTATAAATTAAATTCTTTTAAAATTGTTGAAGGTTGATCTTTATTCAAGCGAGTCTAAATACCTGAGAATAAAAAGTTCTTTAGGTCTTCTGAGAAAAATAAGCGTTGTCCGAATTAATATTCAATCAATATTAATCATTTCCAAAGGTTGTTAAAATAACATTCCTTATTTCACGTAAAGGGAGCATTCTCCACTTTAACACGCTCAATTTTTCTGCATTGGTGCTTTAGGCTGCAAAGGCTGTCATTAAATGATAATGATAAATGACCCGCGCTTGTATAGCACCTCTCAGAGTAAGGACTCCAATGCGCTTTACACTACAGTGTATCATTCATCCATTCACACACACATTCACACACTGATGGTGATGAGCTATGATGTAGCCACAGCTGCCATGGGGCGCACTGACAGAGGCGAGGCTGCCGAGCACAGGCGCCACCGGTCCCTCTAGGCGCCACCGGTCCCTCTGACCTCCACCAGCAGGCAAGGTGGGTTAAGTGTAGGAAGTAGGGTTCACTGCAGGAACTGATCTGGTTCTGACAGGACAGATGTTGTCCAGAATGGAAATGCAGTGCTTGTTAAACTGAGAAGTTAAGGAATCTGGGTCGTTATCAGAAGAACAGGGTGGATCAATAGCAGCAGAAAATTTGCTAGCTGTGCTCTCATTAAGAAAACGAGAACTAACCAGAAGGTGAGCAGGAGGTGGGGAAACTGACAAGTTAAAGATAACGCAATGGGGATCTGAAATATGAACATCCTCAGGACAAACACTACCAGCATGTAGACCCAAAGTAAAAACAAGGTCTAGAGTGTGTCCCTTGGTGTGTGTGGGGCCAGCAACATGCTGGGTAAAGCTGAAGGAGTCAGGAGGCTGGACAAGGTAATGAGAAAGTGGTCTGAGGCATCATCGTAGATGTAGGGCTGGGCAATAAATCGAAAATGTATCACTATCGAAATTTCTGCCTCTTATCGAGATAATTTTTCCCATGTCAATAAATTTGATTTAAAAAAAAAGGTGTGTAAGTTGGCAATGTTCATGTCCCTTTAAGAAGCTGTACCACCTTGAGTCACATAAAAATGTGATTCAACGTAATACATGTGACAGCCCCATCTAGTGAACAACTTTTGTTTCTGCACATACCTGTAGTTATCGTCCATTTATCGTTATTGAGGTTCAAATCCTCAATATATCGTGATATTGATTTTAGGCCATATTGCCCAGCCCTAAGTGGATGTTAACATCACCAACAATAACCAGTCTGGACAGCTTCAAGGTGGAGGATAGAACGACACTAAACTCCTTAAGAAAAGAACTGTTTGGACCAGGAGGACGATAAACCATGGCACAGTAAAACGGGTCCTTATGCCCCAGAGTGCAAGAGAGTGCAAGCCCTTACCTCTCTTTTTTGCAGAGACAGTCTGGTTTTGGACTTGTGGCGTGGAGGTACATTCTTGCAGGGATGACATGCTGACCTCATGTTCTGACCCCTCTTCTGGCATACTGACATCCGGATCAAGAAATAACTTTATTAAAGTATACAATACACAAAATATGTAATAGCCGTCAGTATAGTGGTTGTTATTTTATAAAATAAGTATATGGAATTTGTGTCTCTTAAAGGGAGAGACGGAATTTCATTATGTCTCCTATTCTAAATCATTTTCAAGTGACTAGTGAAGTAAAAATATTAATTGTCATGTTAGCCCAGGGATGGCCAACTTCACTCTTTAGGGACCCACATCCTACAGGTCTGAGATGTTTCCCTGCTTCAACACGCCTGATTAAAGTTAAATAGATCAAACAGCTTGTTGCCAAGCTCTGCACAATGAATCAGGTGTGTTGCAGCAGGGAAACATCCAAGACTTGCAGGATTGTGGTCCTCAAGCAATACATTTCCTCATATAGTGTACAGACGAAAGACTGTCCTACGCAGCCCACTAGTGCTGAAGTAGCTGTACGCCTCAAAGATTGGATGTTGGACAACATAAAATGAACTGATTTCTTAGGTGTGTTCTTACTGTGTCGTGGTTCTAATTCCATGCTTTCGTTCTTTTTTAAACACAGAAACTGTTTTGTTTACCTACAGTTTCACCGACGGCAGCCGTCGGCGAAAATGTAGCTACAAAACAGGTAAACAAAACTGTTTCTGTGTTTAAAAAAGAACGAAAGCATGGAATATGAACTGATTTCACCAGACAGCGACCGTTGTTACTGACATTACAAGTAGCGTTATAGTTAAGGTTAGTGTGCACTTACCTACTGTTTATAGGTTGCTCCAATCTCAGGGCACAGACTTCATGGAGAGATTGCATGGCTATTAAGACATTTTTTCTCCTCAATTCTGCACGAGTACACAGTTACAGCGAGTGGAGAACAAGTACATAGTTGAAGAGGAAAAATGTCAAGATGAAGCTGAGCGAGTTTAGTTCATGTCATCTAACCCGATGGCATACAGTATGCGTTTAAGCCAGTGATGAGGAGGAGGGGCGCAGCGGCTACGGACAAAGATGACAGTGAGGAGAGGGTTGGCAACCCTTTGTAGTGCAAATGCAGTCACTGCTCAGCCGTGGAGCAACAACCGTGGAGTCCGTTTGCTGCCATGAAGGAGACTTGGATAATGATAGGTATTTTTAAAATGCTCCTCTTTTTAAGTAATAAAATAATAAACTTGTGGATTAAAGGGTTTTTTCTTATCCTCAGTTGTTTTCAGTTAAAGGGCCTTTTTGTCCTCTTCACTTGGTCTTACAGGATGGTTACATTGGAGGTTGCAAGAGTGAGTGGTAACTCGTAGCTTTGGAAACTGAATTCCTGGCTGTCAGTCATAAATTAAGTAGCCAGCAGGTTTTGGCTTTCAACAAAAACTCTGTTACTTGAGAAATCCCCGCCTTAGACATGCGGTGGTTGGCCAAACCTCCTGACAGAGATTTACGGGTCTTTGTTTGGAAGACTGTGGGTGGAATAAAACCATTTGGAGTGCAGAGGACTGACCGAGAGCTGAGGTGTCGAGAGGCCTGGAACAGGCTTCTGGCGTGTTGGCTCTCCGCTGCTTGTTCTGACAGTGTAAAACCCTCTTTTCCTTCTATTATTAATGTTTGTCACGTGTGTCTTAATGTACTGTACGTGCATATAAATATATGCAAGTCCTTTCTTGTAATAAAATCCTTCTTTGAATCTATTTTTGTCCGTCTCTCTCACCCATGTATGAGGTAAACGTGATTTAAATTGTTCTAAATAAAACTAATCTTTTAATCTCCCCCTTGTGCAATCACAATTATTCAGCAGATAAATGTGCTCAGGGAATTGTCCTGCGTCACTTTATCGTGGACCTACCAGATGTTCTATAATGAGAGAGGTGTTTTGTAGCTATGCTATCCCTGCGTGAAGTCCACGCAGAGAGATTGAAGCAACCTATAAGCAGCAGGTGGATGCACGCTAACCTAAAAGTTAAAGCTGCTTGTAATGTAAGGCAGTACTAACCCAATGTTCAGTTTTAAAACTGGGGTTGTGTTTGACTGTGTTGATTGTGCAGCCTCTGCATCAGACAGGTCTCCTGACAGAGTTGCAGGAGGAGGAGGTGGTTGGGACAAAGGAGGGAGATGGGGTTGTTGATGCTAATTTTTGTCATGCACTGTGTGAAAATGCACCAAAGCTAAGAACTGCATTGAAGCTCACCTGTTGCAGACACTCTTTGGTTTTGACTTTCTGATATGGAGGTACATTCTTGCCTGGATGACATGCTGACCTCATCGTCTGACCCCTTGTCACCTAGCACACAGACATCTGGACATAAATAATTACTTGTAAGAATAAAATACACAAAACAGGTAAAACAGATAATTTAGTATCAATTTAAGAACATTGCATACACATACCTTCAATGTCCTCTGCTAAAGGTCCCTCCATGTGAATGGTCTAAAAAGATAGTTGAACAAATATTGGAAAGCTGAACTTGTGGGCAATCTGCAAAAGTATACAACTATAGAATTATTCTCTTATCCGGTCATCATTACTCTTAGGGCAGGAAATTAACTTTTTCATCCACCAGATTCAAAATTTTACTGGCCACTCAATGTTCTTAATGCCGCCTTTACAAGAAAGGATAACCACAGGTTGACTTGCAATAGTGGATATTTCATCAAGAGAAGGAAAAAGCATTTGGGCACAAAATCCTCGATAACTTTAAATAAATGACGTGTTTTCACCAGCTCCAGACTAGTGAATTTCAACGCAGCAGCAGCGGTGATGTTCGCACATCCTTTCCTAATAATACCGCCTATCATGTTAACGTCATTAGCTTTATATATACACCCCCACACTAGCAGGCTCCAGCGACTAAAGTCTACGCTGTGGTGAGATTTTTTCCCACTCTGTTGAAGAACAAGAAGAAAATATCATTTCTATAGCGCCTCTCAAGATAAAAATCATGAGGCGCTTCACAAAAACAAAAACAAAAAATATAAAAAATTGTAAAAATATAAAAAAGCACTTAGAAAATGTTTTAAAATATATTTAAAATGAGCAAGAATAGGCAATTGCGACTTAAAAGAAAAAATGTTAAGAAAGAGAGAGTGTGACTAGGAAAGAGGGAAATCAGTGGATCCTGAGGAAGGTGGAATAGGTGGGGAGAGCCGAATAAAGAGAGAGTGGTGAAGAAGGTCATACAAAAGCCAGCTTGAACAAGTGAGTCTTCAGCTGCTTTTTGAAGGAGACCACTGAGTCCACTGATCTCAGGCTCAGGGGGAGAGAGTTCCAGAGTCTGGGGGCCACAGCAGCAAATGATCTGTCAAAGCTACAGCAATACTGCACCGAACAAGAAGATGGCTCTGCCTTCACAGGAAGCATAAAGGAGAATAGTTTGGAAAGATTTTTCCAACCAATACAGGTACAACTACTTATTTATCATAGATACACAGACAGTTATGATGCAGGAAGCCATGTGCTATTAGTTGTTTGCCACCACGCGTCCAGTGAAGAGCACAGCGAAGAAGACGTGCTGCTGCCTAGACTCTCCCGGTGTGAAAAGGACCGCTTTGAAGTTTGCGAGTAAACCGTTTCGCTGTCGTTTTGTGCCACTGATGCTTCCAGTGTGAAACTGGGGACAAGTTTTCTGGCGGCAGCATAGGCGTATCACTGCCCCAAATGATCAGTTGCATAACACATTTGAATGCGCTGTACTGCCAACATTACCTGCCAGGTGTGTGACTTGATGATTGTGACTCCCCAATAAGCCATTTCGGTACTGCGTTGTGCGCAATGCATTCTGGTGTTTTGGACCCTAAACTGACAGAAGCGAACATACATATAGATAGGGAAAGCGGCAAAATTTATGATTTGAACAGTGGAAAGTTGTTGAACTGAAAACATATTCGCCTTAGAGGGCTGCCTGTGAAAGAACTAAGTGCACTAGCGTATGCAGCTACAGTGCAGAAACTACTAATTGTTTTGACGAAATAAGTGGCGTAGTTAAGGCTGATTATACCAGCTTTTGACATTTCATGGAGTGACAATCCCAGACCCACAAACGCTATTAGAAAGACTGGGAAGGAAAAATGTTGGCATGTAGAAGCGACCTCAGCTACTTTTCATCCCAGAGCTCATGCATTCAAGATGTGCTGTATCATAATATCGCAGGTATTTTCTTGCTTGTGAAATGTCTGTGTTATGGGTAGCAGTTAGCACCTAGCCTATGAGCTTTTGCCATGCTTTTAAATTCTTACAATTTGTATTCATGTATGGGTTTTTTACTTCTTAAAACCTGTAAGAGCCCGGATAAGGCTGTGATGCCCTGGCCGCCCACTGAATGGGACAAGCATGTATGCCCCCATCCTAACGGGAATGCATCCGTGAAAACAGAAACATGTGACATTGCACGACCAAGAGAGACTCCAAGCATCAAGATGTCGGGGTTCCCCCAGTGCTCCAGATCTCGTTTTACTGAGAGGAATGGGCAGCATATGTTGTTTGTGATGCAGCAGGTTTATCTTGAGATATCTGAACCAGCATTGGATGCGTGTCATATGTTGCAAACCAAGAGGAACTGCTATATGGCCTGCAGCCATCAAGCCAAGCAGCTTCATCACTGTAAGAGCTGTCACAGTGTGGCGAGGTTGCATGTGGCTGATTACGTGTGTTGAGACTGGGAGAGGTAGGCTCTCATGATGCTGGAGTTCAGCTTTATGCCCAAAATGGTGATCAGCTGTGATGGGATCACAGAACTTTTCTCCCAATTTATGGAGAAACCGAACATCCTAACGTGCTTAGATGTTCTGTTAGTGTTCTCATCTGTGATTCCACGTCGGACTCTGAGGGAGCCAGAAGGAGCAGATAATCCAGATAAAAAGAACCATCAAGCCCACCGTGCGTAATGGCTGAAGCGATGTCTCTAGACAACTCTAGAAGGTGCAGGGAGAGAGGGAGTAACTGAACAGGAGTCTGTTGTACTGATATTGGACTCTGTTGAAGGACAAACACAGGAATTTCCTGTGTTTCGGGACCACTGGAATATGGAAATATGTGTCCCTCAGGTCGATAGAAGTTAACCAGTTGCCTGGACGAACGTAACTCTAAAACTGTCTCATGGTGATCATGCGGAAGCGCTTTTCCGCTATGAAGCGGTAAAGTTGAACAGGAACAGATCGTGGATGAGTCTGACACTTCTGGCCTTTTTTTGTAACAAGGAAATTGCGGGAATAGAACCCCAAATTCACCTCATCTTTTGGACCCCTCGAGATGGCTTCCTTTGACAGGAGCTCCTTCAATTCTGACTGGAGGGTGAAGAAGTGGTCCGATGAAGTCAGTCTCATTTCCACAATCCTTGAGAATGGAGGGGGATGGGACCGAAATTGAATGGTAAATGGCCTGTATATGATATTGTGTCTTCTAGAGTCCTGGAACCCCACAAGATGCTTTACAACACAATCAATCATTCTCACACACATTCACACCCTGGTGGTGATGAGCTACATTGTAGCCACAGCTGCCCAGGGGCACACTGACAGAAGCGAGTCTGCCATACATATGCGCTACCGGTCCCTCCAACGACCACCAGCAGGCATACCATACCATACCATGTTTATTTGTAAAGCACATTTAAAAACAGCATGACAGCTGTCCAAAGTGCTGTACTGTAGTAAAAAAGAAGGAAACGTAGGGTTACATTATATAAACCCCGGTTCTTTGATAACAGAGTGAGGTGTTTCACTATGGGAATCGCCCTGGCGTGACCAACTACGGAAGATCCAATGACATCACGTCTGTCCCTGACAGACTGGTTGCGCAGTGCCCAGGCTCCGCTCACCCAGTATATACATGGCCAACCAACCCCTCTTACTCATTCGGATGATTTCTTACCGTTAATGCAAGAAGGGAATTGTTGGTGAAACACCTCACTGTTATCAAAGAACCAGGGTTTACATAACGTAACCCTATGTTCTTTTTCTAAATTCATTCGGTGTTTCACTATGGGAGATATGGCCCACTCCTGGATTGCATATCCATCCCGAAGCGAGCTGCAGCAAAAACTCTGCTTAACCACTAAGCAGATGTTGTGCATCCTGCCTCCAGCACTGAATACGCCAGTGAAGGTTGAGACACATCCAGCCTGTAAAACCGCACAAAAGTCAGCGGCGTGGCCCAGCTAGCTACTGCACAAATATCCTGGACTGGCACCCCACGAAACAGGGCCCAAGATGTAGCCATGCTCCTTGTAGAATGAGCCCTCACCCCCCAGAGGGGGTTCAGCACCCTTACACCTATATGAAAGGCTGATCGCTTCTACAATCCAGTGTGCCAGTCTCTCGCAAGACACAGGTTTGCCTTTATGGGCCATGGCCCAAGAAACAAACAACTGGTCTGATTTTCTGAGACCAGCAGTCCTGTCCATATAAGCCCCTAAAGCTCGAACAGGGCAGAGACAATGAAGTAAGTAAGTAAGTAAGTAAAGTTTATTTGTAGAGCGCCTTTCACAGATATAAATCACAAAGCGCTGTACAACATGAGTAAAATCAGGGCAAATACCTCTAACCAATAAAAACATCACAAAAACAATAGCAGTGACAATAGTAACCAAAATCAGGAGTAAAAACAAAGTCAAGGTGTGAACAAGAACAAAGCCATCTTTTAGAATATTTAGCGGGGAAAAGCCTGGATGAAAAGGTGAGTTTTAAGATGTTTTTTGAAGACCTCTACAGATTTCAAGAGACAGAGATTTGAAGGCAGACTGTTCCAAAGTCTGGGGGCAATAGACTGAAAGGCCCTGTCCCCTTTGGTTTTTAGTCTGGTTCGAGGAACAGCCAGGAGGTTTTCAGATGTGGATCGGAGGTTCCGTGAAGTGCTGTGTGGGGATAAAAGCTCAGATAGGTAGCTTGGAGCCTGATTGTTAAGAGCTCTATAGGTCAGCACTAAAACTTTAAACTGTATTCTATATTATACCGGGAGCCAGTGGAGGGACTGTAAAACTGGGGTGATGTGAGCTCGTCTGCTGGATTTGGTTAGGAGTCTGGCTGCTGCATTTTGGATGGCTTGAAGGCGTGACAGGGAGGTTTTGCTGAGACCAGTAAAAAGAGCGTTGCAGTAGTCTAAGCGTGATGACACAAAGGCATGGATGATTTTTTCCAGATCTGCAGTAGAAACCAGTTTACGGACTTTTGAAATGTTTCTCAGTTGGAAGAAACAAGAGCGGGAGATGGTTTTGACGTGTGAGTCTAAACTTAAAACCGGATCAAAAATAACTCCCAGGTTTCTAATGTTGGCCTTGGCTGATGGGCAAAAGGAGGCAATTTCCTGCTCGATTTTTGGTTGAAGTTCCGGGGGTGCAGAGATCAGGGTCTCTGTCTTGTTGGCATTTAGAACAAGAAAGTTGCTGGACAGCCAGTTACTGATCTGGGTCAGGCAGAGTACAAGTGTGGCCAGCC